CATGTATGCATGTATGCAAGTATGCAAGTATGCAAGTATGCAAGTATGCAAGTATGCAAGTATGCATGCATGTATGCATGTATGCATGTATGCATGTATGCATGTATGCATGCATGCATGCATGCATGTATGTATGTATGTATGTATGTATGTACGTATGTACGTAGGTCTGTCCGTCTGTCTGGCTGGCTGCCTGGCTGGCTTTTGAAGCATCTGCAACCGACCACATGCCGTCCAGTGAGATGAAAGGGTTCAAGGTTTAGGGTTGATTCTTCTGTGTTTTAACGGGGCCTCGTCACTGGGTCCCAACATGCTCTCCCCTCCACTCGTCCGTAGCAGTCGTCCCGATAGTTTCGAGCCAACTCCTACAGGCTGTGAATCTGGGTTTGGGGTTTGGGGTGCGGTTTGTTTAGGGTTCAGGGATGTAGGATTTGGGGTTTCGGGTTTGGGTTTTAGGGGTGTAGGATTTAGGGTTTGGTATGTGGGATTTAGGGTTTAGGGCTTTGATCTTCCGGGGAAGTCTTCCGCTTCAACCGATTCTCAATCACGACTGCGAGCTGACGGGGTGCACCGGCTTTGGAGCAGCTTTCCGCCTTGAACCCAAACCCTCAATCCTAAGCCTTGCTACGATTTAGGGTTCGGAGTTTACGGTTTAGGATTCAAGGCTTAGGGTTTAGCTGGCGGGTTCAGTTGCGACGGTGCGTTTTCGGTGCTTCAACTCCGTACTGAGGTTTGGACGTGTGCTGCATGCTAAAAGAGTCCTTAAAATGCTGCTATTTGCAGCATTTTGCAATACTTGCATTGCGTGCCTACTTTTCCGCAACATACTATGGAAATGCCAAAATGCTCTATGCGCGTTTCGTAGCAGCTTTTGCCGCGTTTGTGCTTCTTTTCTGGAGTGGGGGGGGGCCCCGCGGGGGGGGGTGGGAGGGGGGCTAATTGCGCCATGTCTTCTCTTTCAGCTGTTGGCAAATGATGTGCATGCGTGTGTGTGTGTGTATATGCATCCGCGGCAGGCTCACCGAAGAGACAGAAAACCTGAGCGGGCCAGACAACAAAAGGCAAGGACGCTTATCGAAACAGCAGGGAATGAGACAAAAAAGACATGACAACAAAACCAACGGAATACCACAGCAACAAGACACCTCCAGGCTATCGACCAGCTCAGCAGTTGCCACGCGCCAGAAAGGCAGCAGCTCCACGGCAGGGCATGGGCACCCCACCCCACGCAAGGCGAGAACCACGGATGCGGCCAGCCCGAGCCATGCGAAAGGATGCATGGCGGTGCTTAGCTTGTTGGAGACAAACACTGCAGATCAGGAAAAAGTGGAGGTTAACACCAGGGTCCTGGCCAGCGAGCCACCAATTACTGTGCCTTCAATGGGACCGGAAACGATCCTAAATCTTACTGTCCTTGCAAGCCCGAAACTCGAATATGCTGTAAAAACCAGTACATCCTACACTTTGAACCACCCTCGGAAGTGAACCCGCAGGGAGGGTTTAAGGTCTACTTAGATCGCCAGTAGGAGAACTTGAAACTTTTTGGCCTTATCTATTAGGTCTATCCTAAAAAGTTTGAACTTTTTTGGGCCTGGTTGTTGAACAAGAGAGTCTAGGGTCTGGGGTTCACCGAACCCAAACCTTACATCCCAAGACCAAAAACACCCCACAACCCTAAACCCCAAGATGCACTCGTGTAGGTGGAGGATCCCAACAGTCGCTTCCGCTTGGGAGAGGCCAGCCGGAAGGGAGTTAGGGCGGTAGAGTGGTAGGATTTGGTGTGTTGGGCTGTTTGGGTTGACGCTTTTAGGGTTTCGGGTTTAGACCGTAGAGTTGTGGACTTGTGAGATCTGTTGTAGAGTTCGGGCTATTTGGGGGTCATGAGTTTTATGCCTTCGCACTGAGGCCCATGAGAGCACACCGCAACTTCTGTGGATCGTGCACTCCCAATTAAATCAGCGCTTCACTGCGAACACGATCCCCAAAACCCTAAAAACCTTAAGCCTCAAGCCTTAAACCCTGTATGTAAGCCCTAAACCCTCAGAAGTACTAGTTACTAGACAGCAAACCACCAAGCCAATAAACCAATAATGCCCAGGATCCATGGACATTCAAGCTTGCGCAAATCCGAGGTGGGCCCATTCGTGGCCGCTGCTCGCCTGGATCGGGACATCATCCCCAGCGCTCAGGCTCCTCAGAGAAGAATATCGAAACCTAAAGAATTACCAATATTACCCTTAGGGTTCCTTATTCTAAAGGAGCCCAAAACCCAATTCAAATTCTTAAGGGCCCTACATGATCCGAGAATCGGAGCCTGGGGGGTTTAGTTCAGGGTTTGATGCATCAAGGATTCCTTTCAAGGTTCCTGTAAGGGTTCCTTCAAAGTTCCACGAGGCTGTCCTGTACGAGCTTAGGCAGTGTAGGTCTTAGGGTTTAGGTTCAGGGCTTCTCAGGTTTTAGGGGCTTTGGGGCCCAGGCTGGAGAGTCCTTGGTCCGGTCGGAGTCCTTTTCTGAAAATCTAAGCAGGGGACTTTCTCCAGGTTCAGCAACCCTAAACACCATCCCAAATATCTCTAAGACTCAACCCTGTAATTACATCCAGAGCTATTAAAAAACACTCGCAGCAGTTTTGGTGGGAGCCTACGTCCAAGGCCAAAAGGCTCCCTTCCTGCTATTCCCTGCTCGAGTAACGAGTGCGTGATCAACCGGCGCAAGCTGCACTGAAGACGACGCACGGCACCTTGCGTGCTTAGTGTTTGGCGCTGCTCGTCGCACGGAGGACAGTATGTCCTGGTGGTGTGTAGCCATCGTCGAAGGAATGTTGCTACGAGTGTATAGCTGAGGACGGCAGAGGGTCATACGAACCATATACCGGAAGCCTTAATGTTGGAACTTTTGTACTCGTAGGTGCTGCCGGACGCCTGAGGTAATTTTGGGGTGTAGCTGGGATGTCGATTGGCTTACGGGTACAAGTTCACGCCGCTTTGTAACATCAACATGCCATGCACATAAGGAACTATTTAGTCATGTTGATACCGATGCCCCAGTGAAAAATCTGTTCCTGGATCACAGGACCCTGAGACGGGCCGAAGGCTTTCCTGAGTGCTCTCCTTCACGAAAGCGTATTCGATGTTGACTTTGCTACTCGCTAACTTAGCCCTGCAAAATTATTCTGCATGAAGTAGTTGGTTTACTTAGAAGACGGCTTTCATTACTGGTACTTCGGTTTAGGTATAAACTGTAACATTTCCTCAAAACAGAAACCCCAGCCCTCAGTTCGATGCCGTTCTGATGCCAGGTCAATGTCGGCAGCATGGCGGACTCGTGACCTGCGTGTATGGCAAAGCTTGCCTTGTAGAAGATCGATGGTGACCATGATGCCCCGTCGGGAGTTGTGTTTGTGTTTGCTGCTGCTGTCGTTGTTGCCGCTGTTGTTGGTGACGATGAAGATGATCAAGACGAAGATAATGATCAACACAATGTGACGGCGATGATGGTGATGATGATGATGACGATGATGATGATGATGGTGATGATGATGGTGACGGTGACGATGATGGTGAAGATGGTGAGAATGGCTGATGATGATTATGATGATGATGATGACGACGAGGGTGGTGATGATGATGTTGATGTTGATGTTGATGTTGATGGTCATGATGATGATGCTGGTGATGATGATGATGATGCAAGTGATGGTCATTACAGGCAGTTGTGGTCAATTCTTTAGTGTTCTGATACATGCAGCCCATGTTGCCCACCACGAGCACAGGATGAGTCAGAGCAAACAACCTCAAAGCGAGACTCTTTTCACAAACCGCTGCCTGTTAGAACAGATCTTAAAGGCGCCCTCGCAAAGTATTTCCGAGGCCTTTGGATGCTTAGCGTAGGCACAAAAACGCGGTGTCGACCAGCCTGTTGTTGTAAAAGAAACGGACCGAAAGGTAGAAGCATCCGGCTGTAGCTAACAGCACACTTGTATTCCGAAGCCCTGGAAACCCTCATGAAGAGCTCTGAACCCTAAACCCTTAAACCCCAAACCGTAAACCCCTAATCCCCAGACTCTAAGTTTTAAGCCTTGCGTGACCGTCTTCAACTCTCAGCGTTCTGAGATCTTACCTTACGAGTATGACATGTGGAGTACACTAGAAATGGGGGGGGGCTCTAGTAATCATATGCTACCACAGTCACAGAAGTACTATAGTCAGACTATGTCAGACTCATACTAAGTATTACGACACGGTTTTCTACATATAATAACAATAGCAATTTTGTCAACCCCTTCAAACCCTAAGCCCTAAATCTTAAACCGTAGAGCCCAGACCCTTAGCCTGCTCCATAAGCCAGGTACCTGGCAAGCAACCTTGAGGGTGATGACTTTGAGCTCTCGGATCCGTGGGGGGCCGCAGAAAAATGCAGAAAGCTTTCGGGTTTAGGGCTTAGGGGCTTTGGGTTTAAGGGTTTCGGGTTTAGGGTTTAGGATATAAGGTTTAGGGATTTAGGGTTTAGGGGCTCAGGGTTTAGGGTTTAGCGATTTAGGGTTTTGAGGTTTAGGGGTTTAGGGGCTTGGGGTTCACAAACACAACTAGGTAGGCCTTGTAGACATTTTATATCGTCCTTGTTGGGCCTAAGAGGATCTTATTGACGAGCATCTGTCGAAGGCTTCAACACAGGTTTTGCAGATTAGGGTTTAGGGTTCGGGATTTAGGGTCCCTAAGCCCCTAAACCCTAAACCCTACATCCTGGATGTTCAGACTCTGTGCGAAAGGGAAAAGAGGCGCTAAAAAAAACCTACGCCGTTAGGTTTGGTTTCTGTGGAGTTGGGGATTCAAGGTTTAAGCTGGTCGGTTTGGGGGTTGGGGTTTCAGGATGTAAGGTTTAAGGTTAATGTAGGGGCCTTAACAATATATTATATTTATATCAAGGAGCCCGAAAAATAGTGCAGGTAATTATTCAATATATTAAAGATTAATGACCCAGCTTTTTCTGTAGAGTCTGGTACCTTAAATTACATTCCTTAACAAGAACCCAGTGAAGGGGCTACAGCTAAGCCCAGAAGTTCAACCATGTAGTCCCGACGGCCCTAAACTCTGAACCTCAAGGGACTAAAGGAGGGACCCTTAAAGGGACCCTTGTGGTTATATAGGGGCTTTATGAGTCTATATTAGGGGTATATAAGGGTTATATAGGGTTTTTGGGTCCCTTCCAGGGGCCCTAAAACCCCAAGCCCTAAACCCTCTGGGCCCTGAGAGCCTGAACCGTAAGAATTCGAAACCCTGTATACCCTTTGGGGGTTTAGGGGTTTTAGGGTCTAGGGGTTTAAGGTTTAGGGTTTAGGGGTTGAAGGTTCAGGTTTAGGGGTTTAGGCCGAAAATGGAAGATAGACCCACAAACCTGCTTGCCTTGTTTGTATCGAGGGCCAGTCTTGGAAGCCTCAGGCTTCCTCCGAGCTCTTCTCAAAGCCCTTCCCGATTACTGTAGGGGCCTCAATAATTACCTATACTTTTTTGGGGGGTTCTTAGTATAATTAGAGTATAATGGGCCCCAAAAGCCTATTCTAATTATTAAGGCCCCTAGATTCGTGCCTGCAGACTGCCGAGGTGGGGCGAGAACACCATTGCCGCTTGCTGGCACTCTCCGCAGGGTTGCCACGTAGCGGGTTTGGGGTTTCCTCTGCTACAGAGCCTGGCGTTTCACCCCCCCTTGGATTTCACTCTTGCTGTGCTATTTACTTCTGGTGCTCGTACTGCTGCTGCCGCTGCTTCTGCTACTGCTGCTCCTGCTCTCTCGAGACTCGTACTGCTGCCGTTGTCACTGATTTCGCCATCAGTGCACCCCCGCTACTTTGCTACAGAACCAGATGCTGTTGTAAGTTTCTTCTGATTCTGTGAGTGGCTTTATAACCTTAGTGGAGGATCAATCTGCAACGATTGATTTCACACCTCCACAAGGCATCAGTGGCAGAGACTTTGCGGGATGCAAGAACTGCCTCGGAAAGTGCTCGTTTCGGGTTTGCAGAGGTTCTACAGGGATCTTGGAGAAGCAAAGGACTCTCAAGCATTTCGGCCCCCTGGACTCTAAACCATCCGAAACCACCCAAAAATACCCGAAACCGTCAACACCGCTAGACCGCGTTCATCGTCACTTGCATTTTGCTGCAGTGCTTGTTGGGCACCGAATCTGTTCTCCGGCAGTATTCGAAGGGTCATAAGGTCAGAAAGCTCCACTGGGAACTAAAAAAACCAAGAACCGTAGCGCGTTTAGGGCACCCGAAGAGTGATCCTACTGTTGATGATATAAATCCTGCATTACCTTAGGGACCCTAAACTATGGGAAGTATGGTATATTCCTTATTATGGGTCATGCAGGATTTATATCATCAGCCATAGTTCAGACACGCCCTAACAGCCTCCAGCGGTCTAATGCTTGTACTAAGCCTGCGGGCTAGATGGTCATTGCTGCAATGTTTAGGGTTTAGGGTGTAGCTTCCGTTCTTACCATGGCCAAGATGTTAGTACCAGCCAAAAAAGGTTGCTGCCGCTCATGTCCTTCGTACCACGAAATCCAACCTTAAACCCGCACACCTAAAATAGATTCAGAACCCGCGAGTCTGTTTTATTGCGCCCATTCTTCACAACCGTACCAAAAAACCTGAACCCTAAACCCGAAACCCTAAACCCTAAACCCTACCATTCAGATATCCAGATGATGGCCCAGGACAGGAGGCCACAAGAGGCCGTCGATTCAGCCGAGCCATGGCAGCATGTAGGGTTTAGGGAGAACGAGACACACGATATACTCTCGGTTATGTACGTGAGAACATACATACATGCGCATCTATACATGCAGGCCTAAGTACATATGTACTCTCTATCTCTATATATATATATATGCCCATCTAGATGTATGTATATGTATATATATATATATATATACAGATGTATGTATATATATATATATACACACAGTTTGTACTTTGTACAAACATGTGTAGATACGTGCTGTCATCTCTGCTCTCCCTTTATGCTTGTAGATATATATATATATATGAAACAAACCAGCTTGAGGGAGAGTTTGTGCTGAGCGTTCCACGCTTGGCTGCTTCGGTTTAGGGTTTAGGGCTGTGTAGTTTAGAGTTTGGGGTTCAGGGTGCAAAACTTCTACGGTTTAGGGATTGGGACCAATCCGGAATCGGTGATTTCGGATGATCCGTTGGTCAAAAGAGAGTTGCGGTTTGCTGGTTTCATGTTTCGGGCTCAGGATTTTGGGCGAAGGTTTAGGGTTTCGGGCTTTGGGGTTTTATCTACGGTTTTATTGTTCAGACCGTAGGGTTCATGATTCAGCCAGTGTAAATAGGGGTTCAGTTTACACATGCTGTTGTTGTCGCTGCTTAATTAACGCATTGAGGTGCTGCAAACGGAAGGCCTGTGTAAGTGTGGTAAACTGGGAGTTAGAAATAGGGGGGCCCTTGCGGATATAGACCCTCTCAATAAGGTCCGCTTTACGAGAGCCAAAAGTGGGGTTCACAAGGGTCCGCTTTAAGGGGTCTTCCCAATACTACCCAGGAACGGAACAGACGGTTCAGGCCGTTGCGATTCAGCTGAGACTGGTGGCTTCTAAGAGCGAAGCGTGAATGCTAGAAGGATCATGGGACTTAGTAGCTATAGGGTTTTCAAATAGGGTCACTGTATAGTCATAAATACTTACCCAAGGATCCCCAAACCTATTGTTTTGGGGGTTAGACCCTATCACTAAGGGGTCATAGCCTACTAATTTGCAGGGTGTGGGGATACAGGTAGGTACTTATAATTATGGCCCTACCCACCACGTCCTATAAGCTCGGCTTAGTCTTATGGTCCTCTAAGTAGTCTTGCTTGAATCGAAGGGTTCTATGATCAGACATGCTTCGGCTCTGCGACGCCTCTACATGCATACCATAATAGAACTGCGAACCTGAACAATGTTGGGGCCTGAATATTTCGTAACACTATCCTCTTATAGACTAGATCCCCAAAAAGACTGGTAAAATTGAAAATCCTCTTATCGACTAGATCCCAAAAAGACCTGGTAAAACTAAAAAGGCCAGTCCCCTATGCTAAGCTCCAGGCTGAGCTCGGAGATTGCTAGCAGAATCAGACTCATGGGCTAAGAATGTTTCTGAGGGCTTAGGGTTTGGAGCCAAGGGGCTACACTTCTTTCTGAGGGTTTGGGGTTTTCTAAGCGGATAATGAAAGTTGGTGGCAGCTCATACGGCTTTTTGCTATAAATCCTGCAGTACCCATAATAAGAAACATACCATAATTCCCATAGTCTAGGGTCCTTTAAGGTACTGCAGGATTTATACGATCGACAGTATCTCTCAACCCAACCGCCTAAGCCTTGACCCTAAACCCTAAACCCCTAAACCCTAAACCCCTAAACCCAAAAACCCTGTACCCTAAACCCTATACCATAAACCCCTAAACCCTAAACCCTATACCCCTAAACTCCCTAAACCCTAAACCCTAAGCCCCTAAGCCCCTAAACCCTAAGCCCCTAAACCCCAAACCCTAAACCCCAAACCCTAAACCCTAAAACCCTAAACCCTACACCCGAAACCCAAAGCCCCTAAGCGCCTAAGCCCCTAAGCCCTAGGCCCCCTCGC